TGTGACAGGTGAGTGAGGACGGGGTCTTGTTTGTTTTCCTCCGGCCAGTGGCCCCCAGCCTCCCTGTGGCGATTGCCCCCGCTTGCTGAACCACGTGCCTGGGGAAGACCTAGAAAGAACAGGTCACTGTGGACTGGGCTACAACCAGCTGCATGACCTTGAGCAAGTTTTAAACTTTCTAGGCCTGTTTCCTCATCTGTAAAATGGGGATTTTAACGCCTGCCTCACAAAACTGTTGTGAGAATAAATGAGTTGAGACATACAAATGGGCCTGGCACAGAGTAGACGTGCTGTCAGTGTTGGCCACTATGATCACTGTATTTGTCCCGACTCTGGGGTCTGCTCTGTTCCCTTTGGCTGGTTTGGTTTCTTAGATGGTCAGAATGTGCATGAAACTTTGGCCTCTCACCAGTGCAGCTGGAGACTTTCTTACTATTCATCCAGTGAGTGACTACAACAAGGAGGAATGTCGCCTCCGCCAGGGTATAGGGCCACTCAACTACCAGAGAGGACCCAGCCAGGGCACCTGCTTTCCAGAGCCCCAGCGTCTGGGGCTGGATCCCAGGCAGGCCTCTGGGACCCTCCTGCTGACCTGCCCAGCTTGGTCCCAACAAAGGGCATCTCTTTTCACCTTTGTTCGCTGAAACAAAGACACAGCTTTTTCAAAAACAACTTTTACTGGGGATATGGGAGGTGGGTATAGCTCAGTGGTACAGCATGTATTTGGCATGCCCGAGGTCCTGAGTTCATCCCTGTGCCTCCATTAAGTGGGGGGAAAAAGAAAGAAAATCAAAAACAACTTTACTATAAAGGAAGAGATTTTAAAAAGCAGAGAAACAGATAGGTTTCCAGAGCCCGGCTTCTGTGCTGCCACAGAGCCCAGCCTCACAGGGACTTGGTTGGCTTAGCTTCCAGAACTTTTGCTCCCGATTTCTTTTCTTTCTTCAGTCAGCACAGAGTAGGGAGGCGCAAAGCCTCCCTGAGTTCCTGTCCTGCCGGCCCGAGTAGCAGGGTGGAGCTCGTGCCGGGCCCAGAACATGTGGCTGAGGTTTCTCCTGGGGTGACCCTTTGTCCGTCTGTCTGTCCTGGGCGGCCACACTGGTCCCCGGTAAGGATGGGCTGTGTCGAGCTCTGGCTGAGGCGGTGCAGTAGAGGAAAACTGATTCTTGGAATCAGACCACCTGAGTTCCAGTCCCGGCTTCCCACGTTCTTAGCCGTGTGACCAGGCGTGGTGCTTGCTTCCAGGGCAGGTCAGTGACGGGCAGCAGGAGCCCGCTGAGCTGACCTGAAACACGGCACGTGCTGAACCATTGCCAGGAGGAGAACGAGCAGGCAGCTTTAGAAACATTTCTGAATTAGGAAAGGATTATGCCAGATGCAGCAGGGATACGGCCATGCTTATGGCCCAGTTCAGCCAAACCACCAGCAGTAAGGCTTGATGGCAAGGGACAGTTTCTCACTCTCAGGGAAAGAAGTACAGACAGGGCAAGAACAAGCAGGAGATGGATGCTCCAGGAAGGAACAGAGCTTGAAGGCAAATGAAATACAGTGCCTGACCTGGGACCTGTACCCGGTGGAAGTTCAGTAGCTGGTGGTCACTCCCGCCCACCTTCAGCTGCCTCCATCCCTGCCCTCCCCACTCAGACTTATGTCTGTCCTCCTCAGGCCTGGTCACCAGCCTGTTTTTAAAGCAGGCTTTATCTGTATGGAACCTAGCCTTCTCCTCCCAAAGGAGCCAGAGAAACACGCTCTTGGGAACCCCACCCACCCAGCCACCCCTCTGCCAGTTGCCTCTGGGGACCACCTTCCAGGCTGCATCACTAATGAGAAGGGCATCCCAGACTCAGCTCCTCCTGGAGCAGTGGGGACCAGCAGGTCCTGAGCTCGGCCTTTCCCAGCACACACAGACCACTCATTCATTAACTTAACAAACATTTGTGGAGCCCCCACCGGGTGCCCGTGCTGGAGACACAGCACTGAACAAGGCAAAACTCCTGCCGGGAGCCAGATTCTAACAGAGAGAGACAGGCTCCAAAGTGTACAAATACATCAGTGATGGCGATGAGAGCTGAGGAGAAAAGCAGAGCCCAGTAGGTGAGATGGTGTGTGGGCAGGAAGGGGGTGGGAGGGGCCTCGCTGAGGAAGGACCTACAGGAGGGAGAGGACAAGCCCCTAGGCCTGTTGGGGAGAGCATCCTGGACAGAGGTAAAGAGCCTGAATGTCTGTGGACGAGCGAGGAATGTTTTAGAATGGGGAGGGTGACGTGAGGGACAAACAACTGGGGCCTCGGAGTGATAGTAAGGGCTTGGATTTTGCTCTGAGTGAGAGTGGAAGCTGTTGCGGGAATGGGCTCTGACTAATGCCTTAATGGTAGGAAACAGAGTGAAACGGGAACGGGGAGGAGGGCGAGGATTTAGGAGCTGGCACTATAGTCCAGTAAGAGCCCGTGATACTTGGTGATGGCGACAGTGGAGCTAGGGAGGGAGGGTAAGCTTCTGAAGGCAGTGACAACAGGACTTACTCGCAGGTTGGAGGTGGGGTGTAAGGGAACTCAGGGAGGACTCAGGGATGACTCCGAGAATGGAGTTGTGGTTTTGCCTAGATGGGAAGGTTCTGGAGGGAGCATGTGTGGAGGGAGCCCCTGAATTCACTTTTGGACTTGCTGCATTTGAGACATCAATTAGGCACCCAAGGAAGATGCTGAGCAAACACAAGTCCGGGGGTCAGGAGGTCTGGATGGGAGGACTTGGAGCCGGTGATGTACAGATGCCACTTCAGCCACTTCCCCAGGGTCTTGGTGTGGCTGACACCCCTCCCCCCAAGCCCCGCCCAGATCCTGGCAGGGACTTGGTGAAGGGTTGTTGGCCAGACAGATGTTGCCAATCAGTGTAGTCTTACATCAGAACCACCCCGTGGGCACCACAAAAACAACTGACATAATTACTACCAAGGGGAAGAGGGGCTTTTCCTAACAGCCTCCGCCATTTCTGTCTCAGCTCCACAACCAGAAGAGACTCCTCCAGCCACCGAGCCCCCGCTGGAGCCGCGCCTGGGGGAGCTGACAGTGACAGATGTGACCCCCAACTCCGTGGGCCTTGCATGGACTGTCCCTGAGGGCCAGTTTGACTCCTTCGTGGTGCAGTACAAGGACAGGGACGGGCAGCCCCAGGCAGTGCCTGTGGCCGCCGACCAGCGTGAGGTCACCGTCCCAGGCCTGGAACCAGCACGCAAATACAAGATGAACTTCTACGGGCTGCATGGTGGGCAGCGCGTGGGCCCCCTTGCTGTGGTAGCCGTGACGGGTGAGTGAGGACGCATAAAGGTAGTTCCCATCCCCCAGCCTCCCTCTGAGGTCCTGCCTCAGTGGCCCCACAGGTCCTTTCCCAAGTCACAGGCATCTTAGTCTGTTCCCTGACCCCTCTGCTCCTGGAACCTTGCCTTCCAGTCTCCATCTCCACTCCGCCTCCTCCCCCAGGCAGGATTGTCCTCCTTCCATCTGACCTAAATCCAGCCAGACTATCTGACTGCCCACAGCTGTTTCCTTCCCTCTTTACAACCCTGCTGTGACTTGGACCCAGTTACCACCTCCCCCTGCTGCCCCTTTTTGTTGGGGTTAAACAGCACACATCCCTTGACTCTCTTCTCAGGGGCCCTCAGCCCCCTGGCCTGAGCAGTGTTCCCTTCTGGCCGACCCAGAGTATTCCTCCCTCAGAGAAGCAGCCTTGCTCTTGGCTCCCAGCTTCTTCCCACCCCTCCTGTTTCCTGGGCTCAGGCTGCCACCATTTTTGTGCCATGGTGTCTGGTGAAATGAACAAACCCCTTTCAGAGCAATGTTTCTAAATCTATAAAATAAAATGCATAGGATTGCAAAAGAAACCAATTATCCTGACAGCCAATGATCTAAATATTTTAAAATTCAAATTTATGATTTAGTAATACAGGAACTTTTTCATTAGTTCATTAAATGGCAAGAACTTAGTGGCGTGTGTAATAACCTGCTCACGTTTAGGAGCAGTGCTAAGTGTAGCAGTACTTCTAAGCGTCTGCAATAATGCTAAGGTGATGTGAAATCATCGGCAATTCCCACTGGGGAGAGTCACAGGCTCTGCTAGTACCACCGTGGTTGGCTTCCTATAGTCATCATTGAAGGAAAGGCTACATTTCACTTAGGGCAGTGGAAATAGAGATGTAACTGTTTCCTATCTGAGTTCAAGGCCAGGAGCCCTGCAACAGGGGAGTTCTCCCGCCGGAGTTCAGCCATGTTCTTTGTCTTCCTGGATCCTAGCTCCCCTCCCTCCAGCTCCAGCCACAGAGCACCCCCTGGAGCCACGCCTGGGGGAGCTGACAGTGACGTACGTGACCCCGGACTCTGTGGGCCTCTCCTGGACCATCCCTGAGGGCAAATTCGACTCCTTCGTGGTCCAGTACAAGGACAGGGACGGGCAGCCCCAGGTGGTGCCTGTGGCTTCAGACCAGCGTGAGGTCACCGTCCCCGGCCTGGAGCCCAGTAGGAAATACAAGTTCCTGCTCTTTGGGATTCTGGATGGGAAACGCCACAGCTCAGTCTCTGTGGAGGCAAAGACAGGTGAGCAGGACCCCCCCCAGGAAGCCGATCCTGAGGCCCCTGCCTTGCCCACCCCAACACCGCCCCATCTTCTCGCCCTTCCTCCAGGGCTCCCCTCCGTCCACCTCTTCTGTTTCATTTGAAAAGCCACTCTGCCTGCCCCAACCCAGGCAGATGAGAACCAGGAAAAGGGGCCAGTTACTGAATTAGTTCCCCTTGCTGACTTTTCCTCTCTTCTCATAATTCCTGCTTCCACTGAACGGGGGAGGCTCCTTCATACCCCTTCCTGAAAGGTGGAATATGAGAAACAGGAGGGGCTGGGAAGCAGGGGAGGGAGCCAGGAGCCGTGGTGGGTCCTCAGCCCCATGTAGCCATCACCTCCTGAGAGTTCTTCCCTCTGACTCTCACTAGTCATTGGGTGAGGTACCTTGGCTCCCACATCAGCCTCCCCCAGAGGACCCGTTTCCTCTTCTGCCCTCTTCCTTGAGCCTCAGAAACTGGAGACCACAGGAATCCAAGGCTGGCTACCCAGCCTGGTCTGGCCGGGCCCAGCCAAGTGCACCCCTTTCCTGGATATTAGTCCAGGCCCTCCCCTGTCCCTGGGGGCTCCCTGTTGCCAGAAAACTCTCACAATAACAATGCCGTCAGCGTCCTTGCTGTCCAGGAAGGCAGAAGGCCAGCTCCTTCTCAGGCCTCTGGATGACTTCTTGGGCAGACACCAGGTCCTTCCCGTCTGGGCTCCCCTTTTTCTCCCTGTCCCCCTCACATGTAGGCAGCCGCCGCTCCTACGCTAGGTCCTGTGAGGGTCCCTACATCATAATATCCTACCTCCCCACCTGCTATCTGCCCCCATCAGGGATCCTGTGCCCCCTCTGACGTATCCAGGACCTTCGGATTTCCCCAGGGGTCAGTCAAATCACAAAGAGTGGGCTCGTTGGAAATTAACAAACCACGTCTATGATAAGCTGCACCCTGTGGGGGAAATAGTCTCTAATAGGTGGTTAGAGGCTGGACAGCAAGAGGGATAAGATAAACAGGAAGCTAGGGAATCTCTTCTCCCAGAGATGTCTGAGGACAGAAGACCCCTCCCTGCGCTGGTTCAGTGGACAGAGCATGGCCAGTTGGGGATGGTGGCGGGCATGGGAGGGTGATGGAAATATTTGGGGGAAGCACTGATCATTTGGGAAGCTCTGGGTTTTTCCAACTCCAGCGGGAGGCAGTCAAGGAGTCATTTTGGAAAAAAAATAAACACAAGAACCTTTCCTCTCTGTCAGCTGCCCGAGGTGACGCCAGCCTAGGAGCCCCACCCCGCCTTGGGGAGCTGTGGGTGACAGACCCCACCCCAGACTCGCTGCGCCTCTCCTGGACAGTCCCTGAAGGCCACTTCGACTCCTTTGTGGTCCAGTTCAAGGACAGGGATGGGCCCCAGGTGGTGCCTGTGGAGGGCCATGAGCGCTCGGTCACCGTGGCCCCACTGGACGCCAACCGCAAGTACAAGTTCCTCCTCTACGGCCTCCTGGGCAAGAAGCGCCACGGCCCCCTCAGCGCCGAGGGCACCACAGGTGAGGGCAGCCCCTGCAGGGGCATCTCTGCCCCAGAGCCCCCCAGCGGAAGGTCACCTGTGGTCACTGTGGTGGTTGCCATCACGGTAGTTGTCTGGCTCCTGCCATTCTGTCTGGGCTCCAGCATTCCTTCTCCTTGGATGAGCCCAAAGCACCAGCCCTGTGGGATTCAGCCACGGGACAGCCCTGTCTTTATACCTCTCAATCCTGCCCTTTGAAGTCACCCGGCCTTCTGGAAATAGCTCACCCATTTCCTCTCTGTGATTCCATCTCAGGGACTCAGAGTGCTGTGGATGAGGCCAGAACAAAGCATCCGTCAAAGCCCCGCCTAGGGGAGGAGCTGCAGGTGACCAGTGTGACATCAGACTCCGTGGGTCTCTCGTGGATGGTCCCCGAGGGCCAGTTTGACTCCTTTGTGGTCCAGTACAAGGACAGGGATGGGCAACCCCAGGTGGTGCCCGTGGATGGCAGCCTCAGGGAGGTCAGCATCTTGGGCCTGGACCCTGCCCGCAGGTACAAGTTGCTGCTCTACGGGCTGCACAAGGGCAGGCGTGTGGGTCCCATCTCCGCCATCACCGAGACCGGTGAGTGCAGCTGGGGGAAACGCGGTCCTTCCTTCTGCCTGGCTCTCCTGGTCTGTTGGAGCCTCAGGATTTCTGAGTTTCCTATTTCCCTTCTTTTGTCAGGGAGGGATCAGCTTTACAGAGGCATAATTTACATACAATAGAATTCACTCATTTTAAGTGCATAATTCAGTGAGTTTGGGCAAATGTATGTCATGAAACCATTACCACAACAAAGATTTAAGACAATATTGGTGACTCCAGAAGTTTCCCTGTGCTCCTTTGCAGTCAGTTTCCCCAAACCCAACTTCTGGCAACCATGGATTGCTTTCTGTCATTATGGTTTTGCTTTTTAAGCGTTTTCATTTAACAGCATCATCCAATGCATAATCTTTTGTATTTGGCTTCTTGCACTTAGCATAATGCTTTTGAAATTCATCCTTGAGTGTCAATAATTGGTCCCCTTTTGTTACCTCTTGCCTTCATATCCTTCCCTCCTCTTGGAGCATCTTAGTGCAGCGACAGACCAGTCACCCATCCCTACCTGTCTCCCTGAACCAGCCCCCAAAGAAGAAATGGAAGCTGAGACCGAGGCCCCCAGCCCCCCAGCATCTGAGCCCCACCTGGGGGAGGTGACCGTGGAAGAAGCCACGCCACACACCCTGCATCTCTCCTGGATGGTGACTGAGGGAGAATTTGACTCCTTTGAGGTCCAGTACACAGACAAGGATGGGCAGCTCCAAGTAGTCCGTTTAGGTGGCGACCAGAATGACATCACCCTCTCTGACCTGGAATCTGACCACAAATACCTGGTGAGCCTGTACGGTTTCCACAACGGGCAGAGTGTGGGTCCTGTCCACGTCGAGGCCCTGACAGGTGAGCAAAAGAACTCTGCCTGCTCTGCTTCCTCCCAGGGGCAGTGAGGGCCCAGAGGAGGGCTGAGTGCCGGTGGACAGCAGTCCCCTCTCTCAGGTCCTTCTCTCTCTGTGCCCGTGTGCAGCCCCAAGAGAGGAAGAGGATGAACCTTCAGAATCTCCCTCTACCACCCCAGAGCCTCCCATCAAGCCGCGCCTGGGGAAGCTGGCAGTGACAGACGCCAGCCCAGACTCCCTGAGCCTCTCATGGACCGTCCCCGAGGG